TAGAAATCGAAACACTTGAAAATAGATGTCAAGCAGTGACCGCTGAACTTACCGAAATTAATAGTATAAAGACTATCCCAGGTAATTGTTCTTCTTTGTGATTTTTTAATTTACTGAAAGATATATGTTTCTTTAAGTCTTTATACGTTTAATTACTTAAAGTTTACAACTACAATTGTGTTGGTTTTTTGTCATTGAATAAATTGTTTGAATGTTTATACGTATTAACAAATATGTTTAAGTAAATACAGTATGAAGAAAACAAATCCATGACTAACGCCAACACGGGCATAGTGAAAATTTTGCAAGCTCGATTTTATTGAACAATATCAATGACGGTAATGATAAATGCGGGCTACTGTCAACATCCCTAGCACCGGATTGAGCAGACTCTTAACATTGATACATGACAATAGTGAAAATGTTGAATTACATTAGATGCGTTCTTTCAAAATTGTGTATACGTAATGTATGTCATTTCATTTTCTTTGTCTCTGGAGTACAATTATATCTTACATCATATATCTAAAATACTTTATTGATTGTTCTTCAGTCCAGCTGTACTGCCAACAGAAGACTCAATGGACCTCGAGTTTGGAAAGCCAAATTATAGATTTGATGAAAGCAGAAATTCAAGCAGTTGACAGTAAGGTAGAGTTTAATATCTACAAGATATCGCGTCCTTCTGACATCAGACCTGAAATTCCGCTTGTGTTGATATGCGTTACTATTTCTCGACTTGGCACTGACGTCATAAACGCAACGGATAGACTAACACGTATGTGAACGAATTTTTAGATATATTTTTAAAAAAAAAGTTGTAATCAACTATAGGTTTTTTACTCTAAACCAAGTGATACATGTAATTGCATATTAAATGCATTTGTTTTGTAAGCCCATTAATTATAAAATAATTTAAAATGCATTTATATATGAGGGAAACACGACGTAATTGTTTCCCATTTTATACATTACATATGTTACAAAGTAACTGTGTCAAAGTTTTTATATGAATATTTTTTTCTTTTCCTTCTTTCTCACTCTCTCTTGATTTGTTGAATATATCCATTTCATGTACATAGGGACTCATACTATTAAAAGAACCGGTCAATGATTTGAATATTGACATAACAACGTGTGGTCGGGTTTCCCTGTTTTTGTGTGAGGTCACTGATTATATAAGAATGTATATTCCATTCATGTCTAAGTTTGATCCCTATTTAGTGATATGTATTGAACATGTAACGTTATTATCATTTCAGTAACGTCAAATACGGCGGTAGTAGTTTTTCACCACAAGGACGAGCATGCCTTACCTAACCAAGCCAGTGAACGCGCACTAACAGGGAAAGAGATGAGAGGCTCTGGCGGGATATATGACATGGCGTTCAAGTCGGACAGGGGCATATACTTGTGTGACTTTAATACAAAAGCAGTTGAAAGTATCGTTACGTTTATTCGAAGGCAAATCATATAAAAATTATGTTAGTTAATGACTAGAATAGTGTACCATTTGAATGATTTGTCAATGATGGAAGCACGCCTCCAAATTTATGTTTATTTTTATGAATTCTTAAAAAACTGTTCAAATAAGCTTCCGACTGTTGCAAAATCTACGAATTTAGTGATTTAATTTAACTCAAGGCATTTGTTGAAGAAAAAAATATATATAAAAGTAATAAAATACACTGGTATGTGTATGCAGACATTTCTCATTCTATATTTTTACAAGATAAACGTTTACTGATATAATAATAAATTATGTAACATTTCAATATTTCACCTGTAATTTGAATGTGTAAACATTTCTTTGAACTATTAACCCACATAATCATTTTTGCTCAAATTTGACTTTCCTTTTTTCAATTTGTGCTGCTTTAAATATGGAAATTAGCTTTTAAAAATGGTCGTGTGTATATTTTTGGATGTGGGTACATCATTGTATGATTCTGGGAAGAGGATTCTTGTAAATAAATGACATTCCTTAGCGACATTTTAGAAATTACTTTAAATGTGAACACATGTTAAAAGGGCACAAAACAAATTAGTCAATCATTTTAGAACTGTATTTCTTGTTAGTGATGTCATAAAATTGTTTCATTTACTTGTATTTGTTGTCAATAAATACACAGAACATTCATTTTACTTGGTTGCCTCAGACTGTTGTCCTTTTTTATCAAGTTATGAATTCATAAATAAAAATGACATTATGCTCATTGTGTCATTGTCCATTTGGGCTGTATTGACAATATATTTCAATAAATTGACTGTATTGTCCAACAACATTGACCTGGCACTCTTACATTTGATCCTGTAGTCGGTATATTCCGTAAACGTTACGATCTACTTGTAAAACGATATAAGCGTAAATATCAAATTGTTAAAATGGTGTTAATCAAAAATCCCTCTTAGCGCAGTTGGTAAAGGGGTTTCACTTGAAGAATGAAGACGTGAATCAAATTGTACATAATTATCGTTTGCTCGCTAGCACCAATGTGTACATGGACCCTCCATGACAAGTGTACCTACATAATCGAAATTTATTTATAAATGATATGAACATAAGACAAAGCATGGCAATTTTATCATTCAATTCCTCGTGCTTAAAAAGCCAATGAGGACAAGCATAGCATAATATGATGAGAGACAGTAATATGTAACAAAATATACTAAAAAAAGCAATTATGCATATTAAATTAAATGAAGACGGTCACATGACATAATTATTAGTAAATAATAACATATAATATCGTTGGTCAACATACATCATTGGTGGCCCTTCAAAGTCGGTGTGTACATATTATCGTGGTCCGATCCCCTGGTTTTACTCGTTATTACGATTTCAATGTTCTCAAAAATACACTTGTAAGGAACCAGTCTACTATAAACAGTTTTTGTGTCGCCTTGAAAAAGGCGACATATAGGGGTTACTTTTGTCGGCGGCGTCGTTGTCGGCGTCGTTGTCGGCGTCGGTGTCGGCGTCGGCTTCCCCTAAAGCTTGTCCGGAGCATAAGTCAGTCATTATAACACGGATTGACTTCAAACTTGGTATTCATGCTTCTTATAATGACCCGAAGTGCAGTGCACAAGAACCGGTACTCTGCACTTCTTATTTTTTGAGTTATTGCCCTTTGTTTATTTTCATACTTTATTTTTGTCCAGGCCATATCTCCTAAAGTATGAAAGCTATGGACTTGAAACTTCATAGGATGATAGATCTCATTAAGAAGAAGTGCAGTGCACAAGAACTGGTACTCTGCATTTCTTATTTTTTTAGTTATTGCCCTTTGTTAATTTTCATACTTTATTTTTGTCCAGGCCATTTCTCCTAAAGTATAAAAGCTATTGACCTGAAACTTCATAGGATGATAGATCTCATTAAGAAGAAGTGCAGTGCACAAGAACTGGTACTCTGCATTCCTTATTTTTTGAGTTATTGACCTTTGTTAATGTTCATACTTTATTTTTGTCCAGGCCATTTCTCATAAATTATAAAAGCTTTAGACTTGAAACTTCATAGGATGTTAGATCTTATTGATAAAAAGTGCAGTGCCCAAGAACTGGTACTCTGCATTTCTTATTTTTTGAGTTATTGACCTTTGTTAATTTTCATACTTTATTTTTGTCCAGGCCATTTCTCATACATTATAAAAGCTTTAGACTTGAAACTTAATAGGATGAATAGATTTTATTGATAAGAGGTGCAGTGCACAGAAACTGCTGATCTGCATTTCTTATTTTTTGAGTTATTGCCCTTTGTTGATTTTCAAATTTCATTTTTGTCCTGGCCATTTCTCTTAAACTATATTGTTCACAAGGCGACACATCCGACTCGCGGAGTTCTAGTTAGTTCCAATCCTTCACTCCGAAGTGTTGGGACCAATGATTCATTTACCATTTAGATTATAAAAAAAAATTGAATGACGCAGATCTGTGACACCCAATATGGAGTGTAGTAATTGCATGAAAGATAAACAACCGTTTTTTTTTTAGATAACATTTATTATCTATGGTCAATTTATTTTCACAATTATTTGTTTAGAGGCCCAAGAAATACATTTACGTGTACTTTTAAGTCTCAAAATCATTTTATTTCTGGTGCACATTTTAAGTTTCCAAAAGGTCACTCACTGGCTAATTACTCGAACAATTTTTTTTTCTATTGCTTTTTTGCGATTTGTACAGTAACTGTTATAATGCTTCGGTATTTTTTATGGATTTCTTTACATTTTGTTTCTTTTATGACAAACATTTTCATATTTAAAGTACCAATTAAACATCTATCAGGCTTGAAAACCATTTATGTAATATCTGAGGTATAATGCGACTTTAACAAACTGACAAAAACATCATGTTTCATCGCAATGTTTTACATCTGTGTTCATTATGCAGATTTAAATAACATAGCATTTGGCCGTTTAACGAATTACAAGATGTCTTTTTCATCTTTGTTCATGAAATTTGAAACAAGTTAACACATTTAACATTCAAGTTATACATGACATCAATGTTATTTGAAGGATAATAAATGTTTGATAAAATTTATGATTATATAACGACCATTAAATATGCAGAATATAAAATAATTCTGTTTATAAAAATGCAATAAGAGGTAAATTAATTTTAAAATCATGCTACTTAACCCTCCAACAACACCCTCGCCCATACCTTTTAGTTTTCTAACTGTTTTAAGTATACATGTATTTTAATTTTCATTTTCCTTGACGTGCGTAAACGTGTGCATAACGCTAGCTACGCTCCTAAGACGTATTCAAAATAGTATCCTTAATCTGTATACAAACAAACTAAAGTCAAGTATGTCTAGATATCTGAAAAAGGTGATGCATAAAGATAAAAGGTTAACATGTTTACAGTTAGTATGGTGACTTTACTGTAGTTTAACCTCACGCAAATATAAACACATACATGTACAATGTAACAGTTCTATATTTAGAGTTAAGCGGGATCCCATTGATATCGGGACTTTCCCATACTGTTTATTTAAAACGAAAGTAGAAAGAGGATTCCTATTAAATGCGTCAGAAAATTTACCGAAAATCACTCTATCATTTCTATTAATAATTAACACAGATAAGGGATACCTGTTTCTAATGCATTTCAAACCGAAAGTAGATTCATGTTTAATCTAAACATTTAATATATAGGAAAATCTCGGTAAGTAAAATTGATTTTATAAAAAAGAGAATGATAGGTTAAAAATAAATGAATGCATATATTTATATTTTCTTCTTTAAGATATTTAACGCGTTGATGATGCAAAGGGGCATACGTACATGTATAGTTCAACCATATATATCAATATATCGACGTATTATGTAATATTTTCTTTCGATTCTTATCCTAAATAATAATTAGAGTCAAATTCAATTGTACTTTAGACATACATCTCAATACTTATCAATTAATTAATTAATTAAGATATTATGTGGTCTGGTTTGTGTCAAGTGCATTGTTACAAAATATAACGCCTTCTCTCACTACAGTTTGTTATATTTTGCACTTTCGTTTTTTCCCCGACCTGGAAAAACAAAACACTCCCTATGAGTTTTTCTTCTTCACAGTTCCACTGACATCGATATTGACGCTCATCAAAAATGGGAACGCAATTTTCAAGAGTGGAACATGCGTTTTACCCGGAATGTGAGGTAAGTTTGTGGATTCAGACTTTGTAAAATCCAGATAAGCAGTATAAATATGTGTGTGGCAATTGATATACCAGTAATATGATATTTTAAACTCATGCATATATATGGCTCGTTTTTCTTGTCAAAATCGAACATATCGTTAAAACCTTTTTGATAAACTTACTTTACTTTTACGGAAAACTTAAATAATAATGTAAATTTACCAATAAATGAGCCAAATTTCCTTTATTTTTAAATGTATCGATCTCATCTAACACAAGCTCAGTAAATATTTTGTCAAAATATTATTCTCTTCTTAAAAACATAAGTTCAACCATTTGTTAAAGGAAAAAAGAAACAACAACAACAACATTATATACGTTTATTATGGGAACAATGTATTTTTTGTCTAATTGTTTGTTTATTTTAGCGTCTAGTAAAATGAAATATCTGCTGACTCCACAAAGAGTGGAGCCTGTTCATGGCCTCTCGTACATGGTTGAACTCGCTTTCATTTCAGACTCAATTATCTCAACTTGATAACATATTGCTTGTAGTCGCTTCATCAGTTGATGCCCTACACTTGTCGTTTTCACAACTTCTACACCATTTAGACGACCCCTCCACAAATGATACTGGTAAACAAATGTTAATACATGTATATCTACATAACATGTAAGTCCGTGTCTGAAACAGGTTAAAAAAAACTTAAATGTTTACAGTTTCCAAATAAAAATACTCATTGGCCATAAAGATGAACTACTTTGCTTCTTTTGCTTTATTGGCAATTTGTATAATTTCATTGACTATTTTTTGTATGGAAGTCAAACTACTACTTTGTTTATAATTACATTTTGCTACCTTTACGTCACATTACTGCACATTCACTACTTTCTCCAGCTGTTAATCATCTAACATGCTATACATTCTTTATTGAAACATTATTAAACACATGTTTGACATTTCTAAAGAATTTAATGAATATGAACTTCTTGGATATAATATGCCTTTAAAATATCACAGATTCAGAATATCAAAGATTTTGTTCCATACTGTTATGCTCTGTTAACGCAATTGGCCAGTATCTTTTATTCTAGAAGATTACCACATTTTCTTTAAAAAATTCTAGTTTAAAATAAATTATAAATGTTTTTTTATGATTTTATTGATTCACAGACAGAAATGAGTTGCTTAAGGAGAGACAGAAGAAAAGTATAGAGATGACTACCAAAATCTTGTCAAGCCTTGAGGTACCTAGCTTGTTTTCCTTCCTTGTATTATTTTTTTCAATTTAAATGGTGCCATCATTGAGATTTATGACTCCAATTTTTTACTCCAAATAATGTTAAATATTTTTTAATATACTTCAAATTTCCTTTTTTCACTCTCCTTTTTACTCCAAATAATGTTAAAATTAATGTCTTAGTATATACTTTAAATTTCAGTTTCTTTATCTTAAATATTCTTTCTATTATTCGAAATAAATGAATATATGGTAGAAATATGGAGTGAATGGGTGTTTTCATACTTTGTAGTGTTTTTGTTTTTAAAAAATATAGGTATGAGTCTACGAATTGTATGTTAATGTGTATGTTTGTATTGTTATACTTCAAATATGAAATAAATGAAAAAAAAAGATTTATGACTCAACAAATTTAGTCTTGAAATCAAGAATTACTGTTTCTTTTTATTATTACTATTTTTCAAGTTGAAAAATGATTATGCAAAAGTGATTTTGTAGTCAGTATGGGATGGTTCCTCGATTTATACCGATAAATGGGTAAATGGGGATCACGTCTGGTTTACTTGGTCAGCAAAAAAAAAATACAACAAAAAATAAATAAATACAGGATTTAGACTTTGAGGTACCTACATTAAAAGAAATGCATTTAAGTTTCACGTCTATAAATTTCATGTAAGTTATGGTATTGTGTTATACCAATTTATAAGTAACTTTCCTACAGTGTCCACTTAAACAAATGTTAACGTTAACAGAACAAGATTTTAAAGATGAATTATTGAGATTATTTAAAGAAAAGAATGTATAGAAAAAAGAAGATAAATTTATAGATGTATATATGTAAGTACCTAACGTTACATCTAACTTTAAAGCTGCATGTCTACAGATGAGCCGAAATATTTCAAGAATATTAAACTTGGAAAACCGTCTCTTTTGGTAATTTACATGAGTTGTAAGTGCTGTTTTGCAACGTGTGAATTACTTTCTTTGTTAACTTCACAATATTTAACTTTAAAAATCATTTTCAAAATTTTCATGAAAATTAGAATGAATCTGGAGGCGTCCTGCTTTAATATTAAAATATAAATATAGAAATGCACCCACATTATAAAAAGAGAATGCTTCTTTAATATAGTCACATACATGTATATTGTTTGTATGATACTTCAGACTGGTCTACGCTACCAGACGACATCTTTACTACAGGAAATAAGTCAATTTGCCGGGATGATAAGGAAAAAGTCCGATAAAAGTAAACCTTTATCAAATACAATTCCGAGTTTAGAAAAGTTGAAAATCGACGCTTATTTGGCAGGACAAAAACCAGAATTTTCCGAGCCAGCTGTGAAAGAAAATAGACAACTTAATGATCCAACACAGGCGGGAAAATCGAAAAAAGAAGCTGAACATATTATCGCAAAACTGAAACAAGAGAAGAACAAGATTTCAGGAGATTTGCAAAAAATGAATGATGAAAATGAAGCAAATAAAAAGATAATCGAGGAATGTAAAAACAATATGACTAAGTTACGGGAGGAAAACAATCAATTACTAAAAGACAAAGAAGACCTGAAAAACAAAATTACCAAACTGGAACAAGACAGTGTTCAGATAGCGCCAGGTAGGTAGTTAATTGCTTTTGCAATAGTATATACTGAAACAACCTGTAACAACAAATGAGATAATAATATAAAATATTTGTAAATAAAAGTTGATTTGTATAAGAACTGCAAAATATAAGTAATCCATAATAAAAATGGAATCTCTTTCTAGTTTTTGTGTCGCCTGCTACAAAGTAGCGGCGATATAAAGGTCTTGTAAAAAAAGCGTTTTAACCGTTTATGATTTTGTTTCTCCTGCTGCACAGTAACTACAACATGCTACAAAGTAGCCGCGACAAAATTATAGGGAACAAACTGGTCGACACATTTGGTCACGGACCGCTTGACTTATATGGCAGCCTTCAAATTAAAAAAAAAAATAGAAAAATAAAAGAAAAAAATACACTTAACAGTTTGAATCGATTGCAAAATAACCGAACTTATTAAGTAACATAACTTGCTTATTCAGTATTATTACATAACGTTTTTCTCCGAAAGTCAATTGTTTGATATTCTTCATAATGTTGTATCATTTAAAGATTTTCTTCAAAATTTTTATAATGCTCTATTGCATAAAATCAAATGTATATATTTATCATTTTTAGTTCAGCTCTTCTGTCAGAAGAGGAATGATCAGGTAGGGTTTGTCATACAGGAAATCGTGGCACAACTAAACGCAAAAGGAAAGTTTGGTGCTAAAAAGCTGGCCTTCATAACATGCGAGAACTCGACTGATATTCTGCCGACCTTGCCGCTTCTAGTCCTTTGCATCAATGCATCTAGAATAGGAACAGACGCTGCTAAATCTATAGAGGGAATTACAAGTAATGTGTTCATTTTTATTTGAACAGTTATCTTCTCTTATGTTCATATGATGATGTATTTATGTATCTAATGAACACTTTCTAAGATCCTGTATGTTGTAATTGCGGCTGTATACCACACTTCAGTGAAATTATATATAATTTAATGTATATAATAATGCTTATAAAACAAATTTCAAACATCGAAAAATATGTAAAATATGTACTGCTAATATGTGTACATATTATATGTAATCATTAAAATATATGTATTCATTTCTTATAGAAAAATTTGACTTAGACTTTATAGAAAATTAATTTTTATCACCGTCCTTTATTTACATGAAATGTTAAATCCGGTCATATATTTATAAATAATGCTTTTAAGAACTTACAAAATCGATAAATCTTAATTTTAGGATCATATTTATGATATAAAACCATACAGAAATTGTGTTACAGGATCTTAAAATGTTTGATAAGAATGCAATCAAAATTATGTTTTTTGGATACTTCCGGTTTTTTATCAATTTATTCGTTTCTTGTAATATCAAAATTTGTAAATTATCATAGTAAGTTATTACAAATAATAATTCTATCTGGAAGACAGTTTTAAAGTGTTGTTGTTTCTTTACATAGAGCCACAAAACAGCGCGTTGATTGTTCTTCACTACAAAGATGAGCACGCACTTCCTGAGCAGAGTAGTGACCGGGTGCTGGGCGAACCGGAGTTCAAATCCTTGGCCGGCATCTTTGACATCGGTTTTCAGTCTGGTAAAGGGATATACAATTGTGATAGAAACACGAATGCAGTCACAGGCCTGGTGCAATTTATACAACAGATTTTGGAAGAAAATCCACTGAAAGTTCATGTTCAATAATGACGTTTCATAAAAATGTTGAAGAGAGTTCTTAGTTTTATTAATAATGTTCAAGTTGACAACAGTTACTTAATAAGTTATTTTTTACATCGGAAAAAAAAGAAGAAAATTCTGTTTAACTTATCAACAAGGAAACAGTAAGACAGTTGCGACAATCATATTCCTTCATTACATTATCAGATACATGATTTTGCTATTGTTAGATATAAACTACAAGAAAAGCATTGATGCAAAGCATCAAAGGGCGTCCAAGCAAGAAATGCAGAAAGTGAAGATGAACTAAAAGACATATGATGACAAGATATTCTTATAAACTTTTCAATGGTTAATTTGTTTTTACCAGAATGACCGGATGAAAGACATTGTTCATTATGAACTTTGATTGGCATGCTAGAGATTAGAATATTACTTGTTATTTCTTTATGATCGTGATTATCAATAGCAACGGATATACATGTATACCATCATTTATAATCCATACGTGTAACGCATGATCAACACCACACTTGTGGAATTGTCTCTTATTTATGTTATCGCTATAAGCGAAAGACCCTCTCTTAAGAATATCTGTTCACGTTAGTAAAAATATGACACTGGTTGTATTACCATGTTGATCATGTTGAGCATAATTGTTTATTAAACAATAATTGTAAATATCTATATTTTAAATATAAAAATACAGATTTTATGAATATTGTTTTCCTCTCTTTGTTGTGTTTTATGTGCTATTTGAATACTGAGTTTTAACGTTACTACTACTCTTTTTTTTATCAAAATTGTAAAATAAATATTAAGAATTCAATTGTCATATTGACCGACGATTAATAAGTAAAACTTAACTGGAAAAAGTCAGTAAAATTATGCTTAACTCTTTCAATATATAATATTGTTTATTCTTAAACAATGTTACATGTACATTTGTATTTTTACTTTTATCATTTTTTTAAATTAATCAATCCAATTGATAATTCATAAAATCTTATTTGTAAAACTTTGAATAATAATTCCTCGGCATCTTTTACTAAACACCGAATAACAAATTATAGAAAATGTTTCAAAGTTGATTAGTGTCATATTAAATACCATAAAAATGTACCTTTTTCTCAAATTATTGTAAGCATATATTTATTGTTTTTATCTCATAAAGATAAAAAAATGAAACATGCTTTTGGGTTGGGAGGGGGTTTTTTTTTCAAAATTGGGTATTTTTTTGAAATAAAAAATAATCAAAAATTTGAGATTTTGTTTCCTGATTTATTAATTTTGTCCCCAAAACAAAGTGACGAACATTCTTTTGGGAAAAAAAGCTTATTTTATCTTTTAAAATATTTGTTTTCTGTTCGGGTAACGATATCAAACATTACTCCAAAAAACGGGAGAGCCCGGGGGACAAAAAATTTTGTGATTCACTAGAAAACCCCGTAAAAAAAACCGGGAAAAGGGGGGGAAAATTCCCATAGGATTCATCCCTCTATAAATGGGTTTTTCGGAATATTTGGGTCATCAACCCTCTCATTCATTTTAAATCCATAAAAAACCTACTGTGTATTACAAAATGATAAAAAAAAAAACGAAAAAGAGGGAAAAAGGTTATTTAAATGAAATTCCCAAAAAATTCCCCATTTTCGCTATTCTTTTGTACATATCAAAACTTTTTTTTAAAATCCCCAAATGGGGAAATGATGGGGCTTTTTTTAAATGACCGCAAAAAGGGGCCCCGGAGAAGTTGTTTGCCCGCCCTTTCAAAAAAATCTGATTTCATTCCAAAAAGGGGGCCCCGGCGCTTCGGCGCGGCGCCAATAAAATGCCCATGGGGAAAAAAGGGAGAAAACCCAAATTTTTTAAATTTGGGGCTTTGTTTTTTAAAATGAAATTTCTCGTTTTTTTTAAAAAAATTTTTATGCGCGTTTGATATGAAAATCCCTTTAAACTTAAAAATTTTAAACAAACATTTGATAAATCGTAACATTTTAATTAAAAGGTTTTTAGGGGTTAAAAAGGGGTTTTCTGGGGCAAAAACCTTTTTTTAAATTTTAAAGAAAATAAAGATGAAACTAAAATAGTGTAAAGCTTTTACATACCTTGTATAATCAAAGCGCTGAAAGCACTGATGTATTCGCTGCGCATTATAAATGCATAATTATGTGTCTCAATAAAACGTTGCAATTGTAAAGAAAATAACGGAATATCGGGCCCCACGGAATTACAGATTATTAATCTGATAGAGACATTAACACTGGTTGTTGAATATTACATTGAAAAGAGGAAAGAAGGAAGAATAAACTAAATGAGAACAACTTTTATTACATTATTAAGGTGGGTAACTAATAAAATATACATCCAAAATATGAATGCATGCAGTACATTCATGACTAGAATCCTTAACATGAATGAGAAAATTTAAATGTGAAAAATGAATAAAAATATACGAAACAATACCTAGAATACTTATTGTACATAATTTTCAAATGTAATAAACAAAAGATTATTACTAAACCCTTTAAAGTTTTTTCACAGGGGATAAAAAGTGAAATTGAACATTTTTAAATTTCTATGAAATTTAAGAAAAAAATTTTTAAGGTATTTTTTGAAAAATATTTTAAATTTTTTAAAAAATTTCTGAGAAAAAAAAAAAATAAAAAATAAAGTATTTTTAAATAGTTTGCGAAATTAAAATTTTTTTTAAACCCTGTAAAAAGTAAAATAAATTTTTTCAAATTCTGTTATTTTGATTTTTTTTGCAAAAAAAACATTACAAATTTTGGAAAATGGGAGCATGAGGAAATGGCTTTTAAAAAAATGCAAAAAAAGCAAAGGGGCATAAGAGAAAAGGGATGGTTGTTAATATCTAAATCTTTTTGTTACCTACTGTGACCTTATCAAATGCAAAAGCCAAAATCAATTTAAAAGCGTTCTTGCCACACCAGTAAATAGAATATTTTTGAAACGTTTTCAAAAACTGAGTAGTTTTAAAATTATAAATTTAAAATTGAAATATGGATGACGGAAGACCAGGAATCCCTTTGACTGTCTGTAAAAAGCTGACCTTTTGCTAATGTGGAGCTAAAAAAATGAAGATACTGATGTCAAGGATGATTCAATAATATCGCATCCATATTTAAGCGAAAAACAAATCTTTAAAAACCAAAGTTGCCATATTGAATAAACAAAGAGCAGCCGCTAGGCGAGCATTAATATGCCGAAAGTGTTTTTTTTTAGTAAGGATGAAGCATTTGTAAGACATGGGAATTTAGCTGTTCATCCTATAAAATTTTAGCAGAATGAAATTTTGTTTTAAATTTTTTAAGTTTTTTAAAAAAAGCCCTTTAAACCCCTTTGCCCCTTGTAAACCCAAAAATCAATGGGGGGGTTCTTCTACCTTTATTATGGACAAATAACCCTGGGGGTTTTGGGAATATTGGGGGCCAAAGGGAATTTTATTTTAATGGCTCCAAAAAACTTTTTTAAAAAATTTTTTAGGAAATAGGGGGCCCTTTCCCTTTTGACCCGAAAATTAATAGGGGTCTTCTACCCATATGAAAAAAACCATCCCTGAAGGGTTTAAATTTTTTTGGGGGCCCAAATGGAACTTTAATTTTTATGCCCCGGGAAAACCCTTGTTTTATTATAAAGGAAAAAGTGCCCTTAAACCTTTGCCCTTGTGCCCCCCCCGCCCAAAATAATTTAGGGGTCTGCTACCCAAAAATGGCCCATCATCCTATGAAGTTTTGAAAAATTTTTGGGGTAAAAGGGGGAATTAATTTAAATGTTTGGGAAATTTTTTTAAATTTTTTAAAGGAAAATTTTAAACGTTGCCCTTTTAAACTTTTTGGGGCCCAAAAAATCAATAGGGGTCTTCTAAAAAGGGAAAATTGCAATCATCCTATGAATTTTTAAAAATTTTTTTGGGGGCCCAAAAGGGAAAATTTTAAGTTTTCCGGAAACCAAATTGAAAAACGGAAAAATTTGGGCTTAAAAACCCCGGACGGAAAACTTTTTGAAAGTAAATTCAAGGGAATTTTGTGAAATTTTTTTTTTGGGGAAACCCCAATTTGCAAATTAAGGGGGCCCTTTCAAAACCCCAAAAAATTTGGGCAATATCCTTTTGAATTTTTGGGAAACTTTTTAAAAGGACCCAAAGGGGAAAGTTTAAGGGGTTAAATGTTTTCCGGAAACCCAAATTTTCCCTTAAAAAGAAATTTGGGTTTAACCCGGGACGGAAATGTTTTAAGTTTTAAAGGGAAAAATAGTGCCCTTTTGGACTTTTGACCTTTTTTGAACCCCAAAAATCAATGGGGGTCTTCTAGCCACTTAATTGGGAAAAAATCATCCTATGAAAGTTTTGAAACATTTGGGTTTAAAAATAAAATTAAGTTATGCCCTCCAAAAAATGTTTTTAAAATTTTTTTAATTTAATTTAGTGCCCCTTGATTTGGGAAACCCCCCAAAATAAAATGGGGGTTTTCTTCTACCCCCAATTTATGGCCCAATTTCTTCCTTTTTGAAGTTTAAACCCATTGGGGGGCCCAAATTTGGAATTAAAAGTTTGGCCAGGGAAAAACCAAATTCCCAAAAACCGGAAAAATTGTTTAAAGGCCCGGAAAACTGTTTTAAAGTATAAAGGGAAATTAGTGCCATTGACGTTTGAACTTTTAAAACCCCAAAAATAAATAGGGGTCTTCTACCCAATATGGAAAAAATTACGGGCCCTTTTGAATTTGAACTTGGGGGGGAAAAAGGGGAAAACTTAAGTTATCCCCTCCGGAAAAATGTTTTTCAGTTTTAAAGGTAATATTTACCTTGGGGGCCCTTTTGCCCTTTTGACCCCAAAAAATAAATTTATGAGTCTTCTCCCCAAAATTTAAGGGGAAAAATCACCCTATTAAAAATTTTTTTTTAAAAACCTTTTTTTTTTTTTGGGGGGGCCCCCCAAAATTGGAATTAAGTTATGCGCCAAAAACCAAATTGAAAAAAGGAAAATTGTTTAACCCTTAAACCGGAAAAAGGGTTTCAATGTTATAAAAGGAAAATATTTTAAACCTTTGTTTTTTGACCTCAAAAAATTTAAATAGGGGGTGCCCTTTCTTCAATAATTTGGTAAATACCCTTTTAAATTTTTTTAACTTGGGGGGGTTAAATGAAATTTTAAATTTTAAAAGGGCCCCCAAAAAAATTTTTTAGTTTTAAAGAAAAAATAGAAAATTTTTGACCTTTTTGGCCCCAAAAATAAAATTAGGG